AAAATTTAAACTTAATTAAAGTACCTCATTCAACAATTTCAGTATTTCAGTTGACCAAATCTAGCTAATTTCTACAGTATCATAGTCATAATCCACAAAGAAATTTATATAACATCATCAAGGCATCCATGGGAAAAAAAGTAATTAGAGGAATCATAATAGCACTGTGTAATCATGGTGTGAAAGCAGGTAAAATAATAAAGAACCAGCAATACTAATGCCATGAAATCACAGAGGTAAATGTCTTGTGTAAGGAATTTTGTTAAATCTAAAATATTGTTAGTGTAAACATTGTGTGATATTTAGAGAGAGAGAGAGCAAATTGAGGCACCATGGAGAGGTTTGGAGCGGTAGAGCTGATTTTCTATAATTATAATGGATGAAATTGTGCTTATTTCATTCTGATGTTTCATATCTAAAACCCATTGCTTAAGAATTGATTGTGCTTGTTCATATCCCAAGGGAAATAATCTTTTCAGGAGTACTAGGTTTAAGCATAATCTTTTGTCTGCGGTCTCTTCCAGTTAGATGGATATCTGTTGACTAAAGTAAGAGGAGTAAGTTCCTTGGGACTAAAATGAACTTCAAGCAGAAGTTAGAGAAGGAAATCCATCCAAGGCCAAATTCTATTTGAAAGGCAACATGGCAAGCATTTTAGATCATCTGGAATGCCTCCCTCAAAAGTTAAAAGTTATTTTAAAATTATAAGAATATAAATCTAATAAAATAGTTTATAGTTAGCATTATTGTGTGTGTGTGTGTGTGTGTGTGTGTGTGTGTGTGGTGTAAAACAGGAAAGCATAGAGCAGTGTTTCTCAGCCTGGCAACTTCAAAGATATCTTGGTCTTCAACTCCCAGAATTCCTGGAAAAATCTTCGGGAGTTCTGGGAGTTGAAATCCAGACAACTTAAAGTTGTCTAAATTGAGAAAAACTGGCGTACAAGTTAATGAAGCCTCATCCCTAAAAATAATGTATGCAATAGTTTTCATGTCTTTTAAAAATATTTTAAGCAGGATAGTTAATGTTTACAACTACAGTATTTTCTTTCTAGAATATAATATAATAAATTTTCTATAATTTTATTGCTCAGCTACTCATTCTCATTAAAGAAAAAGCAGCATAGTAAACATAGGCTGGTGTATTAGAAAACAAATTGTAGGTTAATGAAATTTATCATTCAGGCAAAACAATGTGTTTTCACTGTTTTGTGAAATTGTTGGGGATAAACTCGAACCTAATTAATAGCCTGTCCAGCCCTTTAGAGGTAATTGCCATATGCTAGAAAAAGATGCAGTTGTTTTAAAGAGAGGTACGTAGTAGCTGTATTTATAATCCTGTACTCTCTTTTAACACATTTTTCTAACATTAAAAAAAAATGAAAAGGGGAGCAAAAGGGGAAGTGAAACATTGTAACAATTGGATACACAGAATATGACATACGTAGAACATGTGTAATATTTACAAAAAGTACTTTGAAGCAAAAGATCTGCTGGATTATCAGTAATGCTGTTGGAGTGAGGGATTAGATTCAGATATAGCATGTTCCAGGAGGGAGTATATCAACTTTGAAAAAATCCAGAACAATTTATGATCCTGACAGACTACTAAATTCCTTTAAGTTAGAATTAGACCAGTTCATGAAGGATGAGGCGTGAATGTCTACTAATAATTATGGGTACTTAATGTATCCAGTATGAATCTCATACCTGCTATGGGGAATAGTTGCCCACCTTGGCCAATGATTCTGCTTGGCGTATATTGTAAAGCAACACAGAATAAATATGTCTGGTTGTGGAATAAAACTATTGCCATAGATGTTAATATAATCAAGAAATGGGGCCCTTGACCCATGTGGAGCCCCAGGCCTGAATACATAACCAGGTCTTCAGGGCTTTGTGAAAGGCCTGCAGGTCAGGATCATCTTGTTCTTTGAACATAGAATATACAGGGAGAATATTCCAGAAAGCAAGGGCTACCACAGAGAAGGCATTACTCTCAGTCCCGGCCAGCTTACGTTCCTTCACTGACAGGACTCACCACATGTTGAACCTGCTGGATTGAATTGGACAGGTAATAGCACCTGGGAGAAGATAGCCCCTTAGGGAGCCTCTTCAAAGTCATGAAGGGCTTTAAAGGTGACAACCAGCACCTTGAACTGCATCTGAAACACACTGGCAACTAATGCAGTTCACACAATAGCAGTGATACATATCTCACATAGCCAGGGATAGGGTATTTGTATGTATGTAGTAGAACAGTGTTAAAGAATGGTTACTCTTACATACTTAAGTACATTTGGTTAATATGTTACCATGTCGTAACTTATCCTATAACACTGGTGGGATTCAAAAAATTTTTTACTACTGGTTCTGTGGACGTGGCTTGGTTGGTGTGGTGTGGTGTGGCATGGTGGCCATGACAGGGGAAGGATACTGCAAAATCCCCATTCCCTCCCCACCCCACTAACCTGCTTTCCAGCTCCATTCTCCTGTGCAGGGCAACCAAAGAAGACCCAGCCAATCAGGGGTGGGACTCAGGAGGCAGAGAATAGAAGTGGGCAGGGTCAGTCAGAGGTGGTATTTGCTGGTTCTCCGAACTACACAAAATTTCCGTTACCGGTCAGGGGTGGGATTCAAATTTTTTAATAACTGATTCTGTGGGCTTAGCTTAGTTGGTGGGTATGGCTTGGTGGTCATGTGACTGGGTGGGAGTGGCCAACTCAACATCACTCACATCAAGGGGCGCTTCTCCCCTGGCCTCATGACAATGGGGATGCTACAACGGTCCTAAGTGTGAAAAACAGTCATAAGTCACTTTTTTCAGTGCTGTTGTAACTTTGAATGGTCACTAAATGAACTCTTGTAAGTCAAGGGTTACCTTTACAAACATACAAAAAGCTTCTTTGCTTGCAAAAGGCTTCCCTAAATACCAATCATTAGATTAAAAATACCTGCAAGCCATAATTACAAATCAGGCAGGGTGCCAGAGCACCTTGAGGAATTAAAATAGTTAAAATGCAATAACTATCAGCAGCAAACTCTTGCTCATAAAGTGAAACCCTTCAGTAGAGAGGTCATTTAAGCTCCGCAGAAAGAGCACACCCAGGAGAAGCAATCCCTAGATCCATTTGCACCACTTAAAAGATACCAGCTGGTCTCATTTACCTCACAAGATATCCTTAGGAAATCATCCAGATTTAAAGAAAGGTCACATGCCCACCAGAAAGGCAGTAAAAAATCCAGTGCCAAGCTTGCATCCTGCCTCTTGGAAGTACATCCCTAAAGGACAGTGCCAGATACCACTGAAGCAGTGAAGGAAGACCCCCTCCCCAGATAGAAAAAGAAACCATGAGGCAGAAAAAAAATTCAAACACAATACAAATAATTAAATCACAACAATACCTTTGCTTGTTAAACCAGTTACCAGGACAAATAGACACAGGAACTAGCCGGATTTCTCAACCCAGTTTCTTTTCAGGAACAGAGATTATTTTTTTTCCTTTGAAACAAAGCTGAATGGGGAAAATTATCCCATCAATAAACACAGGATTAAACGTCACCAAGAATTAAACTTCACCAAAAAACAGTTTTAGACTAAAACTCAGAAAGGGTATATAAACTTACGTTTGAATGTCAATCTTTCTAGTAGCCAAGAAGCCTTGCTGAATGTCACTGTCTTGGTTCCTTGTCATTAAAAACCTTTCTGTACCTCTGCTTCATTATTCAATTATTTCTTCAAAGTGCTAACCAACAGTATTTCCTCCCAACAGCAGTGTAAAAAGCTTAAAACAACCCTTCCCCTTTAAGAAAGTATCAAGAAAGAAAAAAAACCTCCTTCAGAGACAGGAAGTCTAGGCATATTGCCAAGAATGTAATAAGGGTGGAAAAAAACATAAGGAGATTTCTTCTTACAACATGTTCTCTGAAATGCTTAGAAAGTTAATAAGGGGTTCTATAGAACCGGTAGAATCCCACCCCTGCTACCGGTTCTCCAGAACTGGTCAGAACCTGCTGAATACCACCTCTGCTATAACATATTAATCAAAGCATTCACATTTATATGCAAAGAAAGCAGTCAATAGCACAAGACTACATTATGGCATTACAATAGCAAGTGCAGGTTAGCTGGACAACTGTTCAGGTTTGGTACTTGAATGATGATGGTGATAATGTATGATTGAAGTGTCAATGGGAATACAAATAGGCAAAGAGTTTTTAATTCATACAATATTGTCACTTTCTGTTAGCATTTGGGTCTCAAAAAAAGCTTCTGCCTTTTTAAGTATATTCTGTAATCGTGTTGGTACTGAGGAGAAAAATCAATTACGGAGCTTAAATTTTAAATAGTTTCTTCCCTTGCTGATGATGTAATAGCTAAATATCTGTCTGTAACCCATTTATTTAAAATGAAGAGTAGGATGTCTATATTAATTTTCCATATCTTTTTTGTAATAAATGTCTCAGCTGCTTAAGTATTTAGGATAATGTAGGTGTCAAATGTTCTCTTCCTTATTCTTGAATTTTTTTCTTTTTACTTCAGAGCACATATATGGGTATGCATGTGTGTATGAAGAGGGTCAGGAATCATTGTTTGACACAAGAAAATTAAACTAGCTTCATTTTTAGTTGCTTAGGCTGTATTAAACAGATAGCAAAGGATATCATGGTTTTAAAAGATTAAGTGTCGGGAGCATAAAGTAGACATTCAGACTGTTGGATTAATGAGATAGAAGTTCAATAACTGAATGGATTTCAGTAAGCTTGAAAAGGAATGGCATTCCTACAGGGCTGTTGTGATTATTAAAACATTTTGAGTTTCCTGTAAACATGTTGTCTTTAGATTTTGTGTTCACAGGCACCACAAAAGATGGAAACTTGCAAAGACAGCAAGTTGTGCAGATTATAGAATAGATATGTATCTGTTACCTAAAAGTAAAGAAATCTTACAAGAGGAATTATGCCTTCTTTCTCTTTCATCTCTCTCTTTTTTAATAATGCAGGGCCCTCCAGATTTTCAACAAAACACTCCTGGACCTGTTCCTAGCAATTTCAACCAAACCCCACGACTTTCTCTACAAGACCAGTGGCGTGGACCTCCACCCCCTCTTCCGCCCCCACCTCCACAAGAGAGAGAATCTTTCTTCCTGGGAGGTATGGCCATTGTTTAGCCCCGCGGGAAGACACATTTTTCTCAAGGGTAGGACTGGACCTGAACTATGAAGCCAGAATCTTCCCCATCTTGTCATTTGGCCAATCTCAAAATTGTCCCGTTATTCCTTTGTTCTGGAGTCCAGTATTTAGCAGTTATACACATATTCCTGAAGCAGCGTGATTAGTAGCCCAGATCTTTTTCCTATACAATTTTTACCTTGTCGATTCATATTTAACCACAGAAAATTTTCAGGAAGTGATGCACTAACTACAGGGTGATTTGTCTACACCGTTGGTTGACTTCCAGTTGGAGTAGAGTATACTAGGCTAATGGAAGAAATCGTTGGCCATAATCCTGGCAATTCTCTGTGAGACTTTTATTTCCAGTGGGGTTGGGCCAAAAACTGGTATTTTGCTTGGCAGATGTGTTGGTTTCATGCTATCTCCTTTTTTTTTTTTTTTTATCACAGAGCCGAGATTTCCCGGCCATCCCTTGTTTGAACAGCGGAGCCCTCCACCACCACCGCCCCCTCTTCTTAACAGCACACACTCTGTGCCTAGTCAAAATCAGCTCCCATTCAGTCAGCCTGGACCTGGTTTTAGCCAGCAGGGGCAGCAGCCCCTGTTTCCAAGAGAAAGGCTAGTAAGGCCAAGTTTGCAGCCTCAGGGCCCGGTGGGACTCCTTCACTTCAGCCAGCCTGGAGCATCCAACGCACGGCCTTTCCTTCCCCCACGGCAGTCCTTCCTGCAGCTCCCAGGACAGCCGTTCCTAAACCCCCTCACCCAAGCCGGCATGCAGGTATGTAATGAGCAGGAAAAACCCTTTCTCACCTCTGTTGAGTCTCATCACCACCACCACCATTGTAACCTGAACTTCCCATTGTAAGTCCTCCATTCTTCCCTATTGTTCCTTTCTTCTCTTTTTGCAGGCATATGACTTTAGAGCAAGGGTCTCCAACCATGGCAACTTTTAAGACTTCAACTCCCAGAATTCCTCAGCCAGCTTTGAGACCCCTGCTTTAGAGAATTATATAGACCTGCTATCTGCAGTCACATAAAGAAAAGGATGGCAACTCTCATGTGTGGTACTTGGGGAGAATATAGCCAGTTTTTACTGTACAGTCACTTCTTTTATATTTCAGGCTAAGGGTAAAGTAATTTGTAGATACTGATCTGCGTAGCATAATTGTGCTTATCAGATAGATTCTGGGAGTTGTAGTCCAAGCCTATCTGGAGTGACCTATTTTTCTGGGGATGGGTGGAAGCTATTATAGGTTATTACATTTAGTCTTAGTTCAGACCATACATTGCTGAGAGAAGGTTCCTTATAAACAGAGCTTAAATACTTAATGTTCAAAGCAATTTAAACCTGCCTTTGTATTGCTTTGCCAAGCATGACAGCATTACTCTCCCTACCGCTGCCATCACTGATGGCCAGCACTAATTGTATTATAAGGGCTAACTGCAACTATATCATGTGAATGCTTCAAAGTGAAGATATTTTAAAAAGTTGATTTTTGTGAAGCTGTTCACAGAGCTAGTGAGATTAGAGAAGTTTGTAATATGACATTGTTACACATTCCGTGATTTCCTAAAATTGATTTACTCCAGTAAAGATACCGAAGTCTGTTTCCTGAAAATAAGTTTCTGTAGTATGTCTATTAAGCAGGCATTTAAAAACATCAAATCTGGAACACTGCAAGACTTAGAGCTCCCTCTGCTGGTGCTTCATTTTATTCCAGGAGAGTTCAGATAACAAACAATGCTGAAGAATTTTTTTTAAAAAAATCTGTATTTTATTAAAATGGAAAAGATTCAGAATCTAGCTGTGATCTTCACCTTCATCCCAAAAAAGGAAGAGCTCCAGTATAATTCAGGAGAGTCCTTAGATTAATCTGAATTCATCAGATTAGAATTGGGTGGTACCTTAATTGCACCATGCACTAAGTTGGTCTGAGTAAACAGAGATTCAAATTTTAAAGCAGATAATGCAGATAGTCAGTATGAGGGAGTAACAAAATTGGAAGGGGCCTTGGAGGTCTTCTAGTCCAACCCCCTGCTCAGGCAGGAAACTCTTTCTATACCATTTCAGACGAATGGCTGTCCAGCCTCTTCTTAAAAATCTCCGGGGATGGGACATCCATAACTTCTGGACGTAAACCATCCCGCTGATTGTTCTCACTGTCAGGGTTCTCTGTTCACTGATCTCACCTTAGTTCTAGGTTGGATCCCTCCCTGATAGGTTCCCATTTCTCCTGTCTTTGGGTCCTATAGAGAATGGGTTGTAGTCCTTGACTTACAACCACAAATGGGACCAAACTTCTCATTTCCCAGCAAGGCAGTTGTTAAGTGAGTCATGCTTGATATTGCAGCTGTTTTTGCCACAGTTGTTAAGTGTATTACTGTAGATTTTACATGAATCATGCAGTCGTTAAGCTGATCCAGCTTCCTCCATTGACTTCACTTGTCAGAAGCCGGCTGAGAAGGTCACAGATGGCAATCACATTGATCCCAGGATGTTGCAACTGTCATAAACACATGCCGGTTGCCAAGCACCTGAATTCTGATCATAGGACCGGGGAGATGCTGTGACGGTTGTAAGTGTGGGAAATAATCATAAGTCACTTTTTCCTCCAGTGCCTTTGTAACTTCAAATGGTCGCTAAAGAAATGGTTGTAAGTCAAGGACTATCTGTAGTGTCTTTTTTTTCCTGGATTATGCAGCTTCTACTGCTGTCTAATTTTAGGAAAAATCATTTTTTATTTAAACAGTCTCAGTCAGGTGACACTTTTCTACTGGCGCCTTATTGTCTTCAACTCCCAATTTCTGAAAAATCTTAGTTTCTGTTAAGAGTTGTTTCCTTGTTAAGTGATGATTGTATATTTCTTAGCAGTCAGGCAGCAAATGTGACCTCATACCTGCCATGTTTTCAAATGTACAGGGCCCTTTGCACCCTCCTTTGCAGCCACAGCCACCACCACAGCATCCACAGCCGTCCCAACCATCCCAGCCTCACCATCAGCCGCACCAGTCCAACCAGCAGCAGCACCACCTGCTGCCTGTGCCTCCCCAGCCTCTGATTCCGGTGGCCCCATCCCAGTTCAGGCCACGCCTACAGACTTCACAGCCAAGCAGTAACCGGATGCCATACCAGCAACGGCAAAGTCTGGTAAAGGCCAGGCATGTAAGTGTCCTTTCCATCTAGAAAAAAAAAACATAGGCTCTCATTGGGCAGGGGGCAAGACCTGAACAGCCACCTTGGAAAAAGGTGTGAGTTCTTACCACCCCTGCTGACTGCCCCTGACCACTCCCTGTGTCTGTATTTACCATTTCTACCCCAAAAGATGGTAGGTGGCTGGAATCTCTTATGGCATTTTTATTTGGAACGTTGATATCCAGCCTTTCTTCTGAGAGTTTGTCGGAGCAGGGGCTGGTCACTAGTTTTATTCATTTATTTAAATTTATTGGCCACCCAGCTTTAATTTATATGGATGTAGGGGAAAAAATCCCAATAAAAATACTAAAAAGACATCACGCTACATGGGCAGCCCAAGCTAAATAAATGAATAAACAGTAAAACAAAACAGGGGCCTTAGACAAATCATAAACACTAATCTTGGATCTGAGAACAAACCCAGATTTTCAAAGCTTTCTAGAAGCCTAGGAGAGGAGACTATCCTTATCTTTGGGAGAGATGCTATTCCAGAAGATGGGGGCCACAGTAGAGAAGGTAGGTTTTTTTAGTCCCACACAATGACAAGATTTAATAGAGGAAACCTGGAGAGTTCCCACTTTTGTCCACTGGATGGGCAAAAAACTATTGGAAATAAGTGATCTCTCAGATATCCAGACTGTATGCAATATGCAAATTATAGTGATACAAGAGAAATTATTTTACTCAACATTAGGCTGAAAGGGTTGTCCAGTTATCCCTGTGGAACAGTAGAGGTTTGAATCAAGAAGGCCCATTGACCCATGTCCTCTCTCTTAACCACTAGAAAGTGCTCTGGAGGTAATTGCATCCCATCTGTTTTCCTTTCTCCTCTCATTCCACACCCCCTTCTACATCCCCCGCGAAGTATACTTTATTATGACTCCATTCACTCATCTTTTGACATACTAGATTGGTATAGTGTGGAGTCAAGCCATCACCATATAGGTAAGCACTTGTCTGAGTTGGTTGGACTCCCAAGTGTAAGGTGCCAGGAGCTGGTATAAGTACTGTGTTTTCCCGAAAACGACCCCACCAGAAAATAAGCCCTAGCATGTTTTTTCAGGATGCTTGTAATATAAGCCATACCCCCAAAATAAGCCCCAGTTCAAATTGTCAGTCAGTCAGACACAGGTAGTACCGCATTTCCTCAAAAATAAGACCTAACTGGAAAATAATCCTAATGCGTCTTTCAGAGCAAAAATTAATAGAAGACCTGGTCTTATTTTCCGGGAAACACAGTGGTTTATAAAGGGCTATAGATTGTCTGCCATTACCATGGAGTATGAGCTCAGTATAAGGAGGAGTAAGGAACTTCTCGTTTATCCCATCACTGGGCCTGTGCCACCCAACTATGGATAGCCTGAAATGAAAGTAGCTAGGGTTGCTTTCACTGGTATTTATTACAGCCTCATCCCTCAGGGAGCCACGAATAAGGCTGAAAGAAAGAAAATGTATTTTTCTTTCTAATAATAAAATAAAATGCAGTTTTAAACCAGCAGCTTACAAAGTTGTTAGTCCGTCTGAACAGGTCATACCACATTATAATTCCCAAGATACGAATTGGCAACTAAGTATTTACACCTGGTTAGCAAAGAGAAGCAGAGTTGAGCATCAGAAAATAATAGTGTGTATTAACAAAGCAATAGTAAGGTAAGCTCATCTGAAAGGAAGACTGAGCTTATTGGAATTACAGGTAGTCCTCGACTTACAACCACAACTGACCCCACAGTTTATGTTGCTAAGCGAGACAGTTGTCGAGTGAATTTTGCCCCATGTTAATGACCTTTCTTGTCACATTTGCTAAGTGAATCACTGCAGTTGTTCAATTAGTAGCATGGTCGCTGAGTGAATCTGGGTTCCCCATTGACTTTGCTCGTCAGAAGGTGGAAAAAGGACACAACATGACCTCAGGACACTGTCATAAATGGGAACCAATTGCTAAGCGATTGAATTTTGATTATGTGACCAAGAAGATGCTGCAATGGTTGTAAGTGTGGAAAACAATCATAAGTCACTTTTTTCAGTTCCATTCTAACTTTGAATAGTCACTAAACAAACTGTTGTAAGTCGAGGGCTACCTATAGGGTTGTGAGACTAAAAAGACTAGGATTCGGACACACTGAAACTAAAATCAAAATGTGAAACCCAATCCAACTGGTTACTTAGAACAGATCCTGGAACTCTACATACGTTCATTGTTTCCTGAGTTCTAGAAGCTTCTTGTTCCATATTACTTGGAGCAGGGTAGTCTTTTCCTTCCTCCAGACAGACTTTTATATGAAATGCCTCTAGCAAAGTCCTTTTGGCTAGTTAATCTCAGAGTAGGAGGAGTCTGGGAGAGCTTTGTTTCATAGGAATTTAGCCAAATGGATCTCTCAGCTTTCCTTACTAGAGGGAGAAGGTTATATCACCTGTTTTTCAGTTCTTCTCCATTGAAGAACCCTGAAATTTGACTTGGTTAGAAGGTGAGACCTTTACATTTTTACAGGATAAGATTTTTGTTTGTTTTGTTTTAGAACACACCAACACAAAGCATTGTAAAACGTCCAAACCAGCAGCCCCAGTCATCTTCCACAAGGAATAGTAATTTGCGTGAATTGCCAATAGCACCTTTGCATTCGATGGAGACTCCTAACAACAACCGACGAACTTCTGTTCAAGCTTCAGCTTCTTCTGTTCAAGCTTCAGCTTCTTCTGTTCAAGCTTCAGCTTCTTCTGTTCAAGCTTCAGCTTCCTCTGTTCAAGCGAAACCGGTTTCTAGCACTACAGTTGCTCTGAAACCTCTTACAGCTATCAAGAACCAAACGGGAAAGATTGAGCCCAAGCCTAAAACAGTTACTCCCACGACTCAGCCTAAAACCATTACTCCCGCGACTCAGCCTAAAACAGTTACTCCCGCGACTCAGCCTAAAGTGGAGGACAAACCCGAACCAGAGGTAAGGGTCTCCCTCTAGCGGCGGCCTAGGTGCCTTGGGTATCCATCTTGATTTCAATAGCGGTTTTGACCAAAGGACATTTGCGTTTCAGTACTCTTCTATATTCATGCCCCAGTTTTATTACCTGCCAAAATGTGTTCTTTTTTATGTTCAGAAACTTTAAATTTTGATTTAAGAGACCATTCAAACAGAGGAGGTGTTTGTTATGCCCCAGTGCCTGTTAAATCTGAAAGGTCATTTTTGTGACTGCATAAAAAGCCTGATTGCCGTTTTGCACACCTCTAAAAATACGCAGCCTGAAGTGCCCTGTTACATTGCAAAGGGAAACGAAGGAAAACTCCTTCCTACCAGTTTTTCCGAGGGCGTGCTGCTCCATTCTTTCCATCTGCTGCTTGGTGGACAGATAGCCGTGACTCTGGGTTGCGTACAGTCCTATCACAACCGTATAAAGCATTAAAACACTCAAAGTGATATAAATCCATGGCTCAGTTACAAACCTGTAAACCAGAATCCTATCACCAACTCCAGCAACCAAGCTCATCTGACTGTTTCATCCTTCCTTGAAGCCTGCAAGGGCAGCAAGGGCTTCAGAGCCCTACAAAAGGCTACACAGGTTTGGGGGCATCGGAAACTGTGGTGGGTACTTTTCCACAGGGCAGGTGCAGCCACAAACTAAGCTGGACTAATCTCAGATTTTTCCAGTACAGATTTCTGTGGCCAAGCAAGGCAGTTGTTAAGTAAGTTTCGCCCCCATGTTATGACCCTTTGGCCACAGATGGTAAGTGAATCATGTGGTCGTTAAGCAAATCTGGCTTCCCCTATTGACTTCACTTGTCAGAAGGTTACAAATGGTGATCGCATGACCAGTTCATGCAGCTGTTGTGAATTCATGCCAGTTTGCCAAGCATCTGCAGTTTGATCACATGACGGTGGCATTAGGCTACAATGGTCCTAAGTGTGAAAACTGGTCATAAGTCACTTCTTTCAGTGCTGTTGTAACTTCAAACGGTCCCTAAACTAAGGGTTGTAAGACAAAGACTTCCTGTATTTCAATTTGATAGATGCAGTAGCAGAACAGTTTCTGTGAGACTTTCCATTCCTTATTTCTTGGGTTCCTAAATAAAATCTTAACAGAGAAAATAAAATTTATTTAGCCTAAAAGCAGACATTCTCCTTACTAATACATAAAAGTGAGCAGATACTAGAAAGTAGCAGCTGTTGCTGTTTCACTAAATTGTAGTTGCACTGAAAGATTTAGCTCTGTGAGGTTTCTTTTTTAAGCTTATAATGGAGTGGAACAGAATTTCTTCCTGATTGATCTTTGCAGCAGGAAAGATGTTCCTCCATTTAGTCATCTTTCATGTAGGACAGAGATGTCCAACCTTTGCAGCTTTAAGAGCTGTAGACTACAACTCCCAGAATTCCCTCAGCATTCATAGAAGGGAGATGGAAGCAGGGGACACTCACGTTTAAGTAGCTACCTCTTTCTAGATTATTACGCTTTTCTTTGAGCAGCAAGCTGGGGAGTGGGGGAAGCCAGAGCAAGAAGCAAATCTGCTTTTATTGAACATTTCATTAACGTTATTACGAGTAGTCCTTGAGTTATGATCACAACTGAGCCCCAAATTTATGTTGCTCAGTGAAACATTTGCCCCATTTTATGACCTTTCTTGCCATTGTTATTCAATGAATCACTGCAAGCGTTTAAGTTAGTAATAAAGTTATTAAGTGAATCTGCCTTCCCCGTTGACTTTGCTTGTCAGAAGGTCGCAAAAGGTGATCACATGATCTTGGCATACTACAACCATCGTAAATATGAGTCAGTTGCCAAGGGTCTGAAATTTGGTCATTTGACCAGGGGGATATTGCAACGGTTGTAAGTGTGAAAAACTGTTATAAGTCCCATTTTTCAGTGCCATTGTTAACTTTGAAAGGTCACTAAATGAACAGTTGTAGGTTGTGTGTTTAATCATTTCCCCGTTCTGTTTTATTTAATATAACATCTGATGGTGATGTTGTGGGGCCTCTGAGATCCATTTCAGGGATCCCAAGACTGTATAATTCTTCTATAAACCACTGAAATCTTTTCTGACTAATGGTTGCGTAGATTTTGCTTAGGCTGTGTACTGACAATATCCATTTGGGGAAATTGTCATCTTTGGCAGTAAAGCATTTAACCGTAGACTTTTTTCCCCTATGCTGATAGGAAGCTTTGAATTTGGATGTAATGCCACCTTCACGTTATTTGGATCAGATACTTGGAGCCGATGTGATGCTGCAAATCTAAAGATCCAAACTTTAGATTCAGAACCTACTGTCCCAGGGCTCCGAATTTCTGGGAATGGTGCTTTGGGAAAATGTAGTAAAGAGCTAAAGGTCATGTGTGGTCTGGCCCAGGCTTCGTCAAACATAATGAAACACAAACTTATTTTAAAAGCAAAAGCTATCTTATTGCAACACTGGGAAGCCGGAACTAATCTTAAACAGTTCCCCAAGATAAGCACACACTTTTCAGTGCTGTGGAATGTTGCCAAAAACAGAAATATCCAATTAATTATAACCCAAATCAATCGAAGTACCAGAAAAAACCAACCAGAGAACACAGAGCTTCAAGGAGGATTCAGAATCTATCGAACTATTTTGCTTCCTGCAAAGATTTGGTCATTGAGGTCTGACTTTTTTCCCCTTATGGAAGGGGCAGTCACCTCCAGCCTTACTCCCGAGTTGCCCCTTCTCTTTCAGCTGTTCTTGCCTTCCAGCAGCTCTGTGCACACACACACTGGGAACAGGCTCCCCTGGGTCTTCTGCTTCGCTGCTGCCAGACTCCGAAGGCTCTGAAAACAGCACCCCACTCCCAGATGTTCCTGGCCCCATCCCTGCACTGGACGCAGGACTCTCGTCCAAGTCCTCTCCAGACTCCCTGACTGGTCCCCTTTCTTCCTCATTGTCTGATACCGCTGCCATCCGCACTAGATGCCGGCGAACCACAACATCATGACCACACTCAAAGGGACGGTATTCACCTCCCTATTCTCAGCCAAGGAAGCCTGCATTGTCTGAGAGATGCTTCCGTCATCATGTGGCCAGCTTGATAATACAGAACACAGTAACCTTTCCTGGCAAAGCAGTATCTATCTATTTGCGTTTGCATGCTTTCGAACCAAGCATGCAAATGCTAAGTTGGCAGGATTTGAAGCAGCATGCAGCGCTTGGGTCTTGAGCCCAGGCTGTTGGCTTCCCACCTGACAAGCGCAGCATCTTAACTGCTGAGCTATCGGGGCACTCCAGTAAAGAGTAGAACCTTTCAAATTCGAATTTCTGCTCAGCGTGTTTACCTTTTTATTTATTCTAAAACAGTTTCCCAAGTAGGCAAGAGAAATGGTTAGAATGATTAAGAATATGCAGGGTGGGAGAATTTGGTATAGGCAGGCGTTGACTCATGGGCCACAGTTGGCACTAGAATTTCTGTTGTTAAGCAGAGCAGTTGTTAAATGAGTTGCACCCAATTTTATGATCTTTTTTGCCACGGTTGCTAAGCAAATCACTGTAGTTGGTAAGTGAATCTGACAGTTGTTAAGTGAATCCAGGTTCCCCCCATTGACTTTATTTGCCAGAAGATGGCTAGGAAGGCTGCAAATGTCAAACACGTGACCCCAGGATGTTGCAGCCTTTGTAAATACATGCCAGTTGCCAAGTGCCCGAATTCTGATCATGTGACCATGGAGATACTGCAGTGGTTGTAAGTGCTTGGAGGTATTGTAACTCTGAAAGGTAACTACACAAAATTAAGGATTATTTCTAGTAACCAGTGAACTTTTAAGATTTTTACACAAGATAGGAAAGAATAGTCTCAATTTCTGTTAGTAATTATTACATTAATTCTATTAATATTATGGTATCTCTTTCTTAGGTTTTTTTCCTATTTCCTTCTAACTGCTTTCAGAACACATAATTTTCTTAACAATATTTATATCCTCAATATTCTGTATTGGATATGTTATTTAGATAATAAATCTAAGCAGCTAAATTTATTATCAAAGAATAGTAAATTTATTGTACATTATAGATGGTTTGTAGCTTTCTGTGGGAGTAAAGACTGCTGTTAACGTTTGAAAAGCAGCAATTCACATTAAAGTATGTTGAAGCTGCAAATTAAAAAAACAACAAAAAGAATTTTCTTTTGCTGTTAATTTCCCTGTAGCTTTGAATAAGGATATATACCCTGCTGGAGTTTTAAGACTACTGAAGAGATTATTTGACACACAAAGGCTGCAATACTTGCTAAAAAGCTTAAGGCTGGAATATTAAAGCCATTCCTGATATTCCATTAATATTCCAACATTGCGTTTGGCAACATTTTAATTCTGAAGAGAGTGCATGAGTTCAAGGTCAGAGAGATTGACTTGCGCTGTTCATTATAACCAATTATTGTGTGACAAATGAGTTTCAGATCAGGCTGAAAATTCTGTAAGAAAAATCAATAGTTCTAATCAGGGCCTTTCAGGTCATTTACCATCCTACCTTTTGTTAGTTTGTCAGAAAAGAGCAAGATAAAACCTGTGTGACACAGTGGGCTGCCTCTTATTGTTACTGCTCCCATTTGAAACAATATTTGAGTTCTTGAATTATATTAATAGTTTAATTAGTTTCAGCAACTTCTAAATGAGTTCCGATTTAGAAGGCTTCAGTTTCAGCTTTCTGATTTACTGTATTTAAAAAAAATCCAAAGTGGAGTAGTATATATGTATGTTTTGCCTCCTCTGGTTGCTTGTTTGATTAATTGCTCATAAGCCTTTGTTAGCAGCTTTGTCATTAAAGACAGAGCATTTCAGTTAATTTAAGAATGCTGCTGGGAAAGCGTGCCATCATTTTAACGAATGTCCACCATTTTTGAGGGGAGCGGGGGAAAGAAGCAAAGCTGGGTTATTTTTTTTTTTTTTTACCATGCATAACTTTATTTTTGTGGCTATCCTGCAGTTTCCCGATGAAGATGAAGAAACCAGACAGTACCGTTTGAAGATTGAGGAACAGAAACGCCTTAGAGAAGAGATCTTGAAACAGAAAGAGCTCAGGCGGCAGCTTCAAGCTGGAGCCCGAAAAAAAGAATTGCTGGAAAGGCTGGCCCAGCAGCAGCAGCAGCAAGGCTGTGTAGGCCAACAGCAAGAAGAAGACCCTTCACAGCTGCCTACCAATGGAAACCCATTGCTTTCTCTTCCTGGTGCACAGCCCCGCCAAAATGTGAAATATAGACTAATGGTTAAAAAACAAGAGCTGGTCCTTCCAGGTTCCCCGGCTGCTCTGCCTAAGCCTGCAAATGTTCTCCAGGCTGGAGACGGTGCACAACTTCAAGGACAGCAAATAAAAACCATAAAGCAACTACGGCAGGCTAGGACAGTGCCTGAAAATGAGCTGCAGACACCCTTTAAAGCTTTGCAAGCAAAATCTCCTGCTGCCGCACAGGCGAACCTGCCCCAGATTAGCCGGGTGGCATTGGTGCAAGGCCAGCCTCCAGAGGTGAAGCCTGGGATGAAAAGAACTGTCATGCAGCGGGCAAACAGTGGGAGTGGCGATGGGCCCCACATTGGCACCAAAGTCAGGGTGATAAAATTATCAGGAGGGGTAAGTTATCAGGCATGCCTCTCTTATTGCTGTGATCTGTCCTGTCGTTCTCAGAAGCTCAGCTCAGATATAGAATGGTCTAACCAACTCTCCTGTTTAGCTTTCCCCCCTGCTAACTTTGAGGGGAAAGACAGGCACAAAGATATACGTCACTAATGATATAACCCTCTCCCCTACACATAATAGTATAAGTGGACATTATCCTTTATGATGATCTTAAATGGCCACATTAAACTGATGGGGCTACACCATGTAGGCCAAGAGTTAAGTAGTGTAAAAACTCCTTAGGATAATTGTTTAGTAGAAATAGTGAACATTTGATATTTAACTCTAATTACAAAAGAAAGTAGCAGTGAATGTTAGGTAAGTACTGTAATTGTATATGGTTAAAGTCCAGAATAAACTTTAGCAGAATAAACGTGCCCGCAACTTTAGCTAGAAAGAGCTTAGAATTCTAGACTTAAGATATACTGCAATTTCCATTGAATGTATATTGTTTTATTTTTACACCAGGAAATGTTGATATAACGGGTCCACAAATCCCCCCCCCCCCAGGCTGCAGCCCACAATCGGGCCATGGCCAGTTCAGAACTGGGATGTGAAAGCACTACATCTGCACAGCTCTTCTTGCATGCACAGCGGGAGAATGCACATTGCTCCAGTTGTGCAAGTGGGGGGCCGTGCATGCCCACCACTTGTGAAAATGGAGCGGTGTGCGCTGGCCTCCCGCTTGTTCAGAACCATCCCCTCCCCCTTAACCGTCTGCGGTTGGAGCCCGCTGTGATATAAATCAAAAGAGTGGGAGAGAATAGTAAGCAAAACTAGTACTAGTTTATATAGATGTTGCATGGAGGCATTTTGGAACTGAAAGAAAATGGGCAATCATTTTTTCTGATTAAAAAATGCAACTGGTCTTTTGGAATGTACAGTATAAAAGTGTGCAAGACCAAAATGTAAAGAGGGTGAGGTTTCCTAAATGCACCCAGTGACATAGATCATATCAGTAGAAGCTTTTTACCATGGGTCATAATATTAAAATTCAATGTTATTCATTGAAATTAAACGTAGAGAGATTAAAGACCTACAGAAAGATTTTTGTTGAATTCTCAAATTGGAGAATGTGCTGCCAGTAATTGTAGTAATAGAAGCTCATTTAAAAACGAGCTCCAGAGATTAGGTTATCAGTGATTACCGATATTGATGGTTGTTTAGAAGCTTCTGAACTATAGTTGGGAAATAGTGATGGAAAAGGACATCATTATCACTATCAAGTATATACACAATGTGAAATCACAGTTGACATTCTTGGCTGGTGTTAGGCTTTGTGTGCATTGTTCTCAAGAACATAGGTTGTCCTAATATAGCTTCAGATCCAAGCTGCAGATCCAAGCAGTGTGACTTTTTGTAATTGGCAGATGGACATTTTGTTAATGTGCGCATTTTCTAGGTGCCATCCAGGATTTTTGGTATGGCAGCCAAGGTATCGATAACCCCTGGGACCATCATGGCAGGTTTATCCTATAATTATTCCATTTCCATTTCCATTTCCATTTCCATATCTAATATTTATGTATTTATTATTATTTAAATGTATAAGCCATTCAACTTCCAGCCAATGCTGGGTAATTTACCAATGATTTAAACATAAAAAATAATAAAGACAAGGGAAGGAAAAAAAAAAGATAAAGAGATGACAGAATAACAAACAGGGAAGAAATGAAAGAGAATGACCTAAATTAAGAGATGTCAGTTATCCCCACTAAAGAGCTGGGTCTTTAGGCCCCTTAGGAATAATCAGGACGGTGACGAGAGGGTATTCAGATCTCCAGTGAATCTTATTCCATAAGATAGGTGCTGCGATACGGGTTCCTGTAGATGGCATTCCTTAAATGAAGAAACCTGGAGCATACCAACCTTGCCAGAGCATATTGACTGGACAGATACTATGAGAGACAGGTAGTTCCTTTGATAAGTAAGCCCTATGCCTATCTACATAGTCCAAGTATATGAGCTTGCCAAATGCATCAGTTTGGCCACTGGATAGTCGGGTTATTTTTACAATCTCTATTCTAGTTTAACCATTTTATATTCAGGTTGTTTCAATCATTAGAACACTTTCAAATTATTTTAAACTTAATTATACACTTGAAAATATTGTTATATCATTTGTGATTTCCCCCCCAGTTAAATACACATTTAAACATAAATTAATTACACATACTCAACTTCAATTGGAAGGGAAACCAATTGACTGGTTTCCCTTCCAATCTTTCTCAAAGGACACCATTAATTTTTAAAGCCACACAATAATTCACCAGAATATTCAGAAGTCTCCCCTTTTTTAGTGCTGTCATAAACCTTGACTTTTGGGGGGGGGGGCGGGGGTGTGTGGCTTTTTGCCTCTGAAGTACAGTGTGTCTTCTGTATACTTTTTCTCTTGCAGAAAGCAGGAAGAAACCTACTTTGGATAGTTCCACCAAAGAGTGCAATTCAGAAATTAGAAAATGGGAAGAAGAGGTTGACCTATTTCTTCCCCTAAAATTAAAATGTGATATAATTGCAAATCTCTTATCTGTATAGAGCACTGGTGCCACCAGGTAAAAAGGTAACCTATTGCCACTTAAATATGGCAGCAGAATCTCCATATATACCCCCACATCCCCTGTATCTTTAGGCTTGGATTCTGCAAACCCCACACCTCTGGTGATTTTCTATCTCTGCTTTAAAAAAGATAGCTATTACATTAAAAATGTGATAGAAGGGAAGCTGAAGGGGAAATTGCTTCCTTCCTCTATTTTCCAGGTACAAAACTTTTTTAAAAGGGAAATTTTGTTGTACATAGATACTTACGTAATGCATACAAACACATACATATTCATACTCTGGCTCCAGATTTTTCTAGTACTCCAAAAAGAGGTCTCCTTCATGAAAATACTAACTAGAGATTATCCGTCCCATGTATTCTGTCAAAAATCTTCAGCCTGAAGTGCATATAAATAATACCAGAGGGTGTCCCAAAGGGGCTTTTTCCAAATGGCAATTGGACTTTCTTGTGGTTTTTTTTTTCTTTTGAAAACATTTCACTTCTCATCCAAGGACCTTCTTCAGTTCTATGGTAGGGAATGGAAGGATTTATATTCTTTGCAGTCATTACCCTTCTGGGGGTTGGTCATTCGCTCTCTGAGAGTTATGGCCATTTGAGAGTTTATCTGTATTCTCAGAGTCACCTAAACAAGAGTGTAAATGGATGTGGAACCTTCTTGGAACTGTTGAAAGAGCTGCATTGTAAACCGGAGACAGATGATGTCACATCTCTTTCCCTCTGTTGAGGTAGGGCTATTCAGTTTTGATATAGATGGCCCCTTTAACTCCTCTTTCAAACCAGTGGTCCTCTCTGTCCAAAATGTGAACTTTCCCAAATCCTGTCCTAATGAGTTTGTTTTACTATGTTATGCCATGGTTTGTGAAGTGGTTGTTTTGTTTCCCCAATGCACAGGTCTGCACATAAGTCACTGCATATATCACATTGCTCTGTTTGTGTCAGGCTGTTTTGCCTTTCGGGTGGACAAGCTTCTGTCTTAATGTATTCCTAGGTTTAAAGCGTGCACCTAGGTTGTGTTAGTTGAAAATCATCAGCAGAACAGGGAAAGAGAAAGAACAGAAACACATCAAGGAAGCCTTCAGAACCTATGACTACCCTAATTAGGTCTTCATCAAATCCAGAAAAAGATCCAGCAGTACCTTCTTTGTAACAGATAAAGAAAAGAACAACAAACGGAGCAACATCATTCCATAAGTTGCAAGAATATTGGAAAAACTCAGGAGGATTTTCAGCCAATACAACATACATGTACACTGTAAGTCCAAGAATACATTAAGTCAGTAGCTTGTTCACCCCAAGGACAAGACATCTAGACACAAGCAGAGCAATGTGATATATGTGGTTCAGTGCAGTGAGACGTGTAACCTGTACATTGGGGAAACAAGACAACCACCTCACAAAAGCATGGCACAGCACATGAGAACAAACTCATCAAGACAGGATTTAGCAGTCCATCTGCATCTGAAAGGCAAATGTCACTCTTTTGAAGACAGCCAAGTTCACATTCTGGACAGAGAAGGGCACTGGTTTGAAAGAGGAGTCGAAGAGGCCATCTATATTACCGTATCTTATGATTTATGCTTAATATATTTTTATGATTATGATCATGTTGCTTGTATGTAAGCTTAGAGCTTATGCATCGGAGACAAAAGTTCTTGTGTGTCCGATCACACTTGGCCAATAAATAATTCTATATCAAAATTGAATAGCCCTCCCTCAACAGGGGGCGGGGGGGGGGGAGAATATGACATCATGGACCTCCTGTTTACAACACCATCCTTTCAGCAGTCCTAAGAAGGTTCCATATCTCTTTGCACTCTGATTCAGGGGACTCTGAGTATACAGATAAACCCTAAGTGGTCTCAACGACCGGCCCTCAAGAGCACTAATGACCAGAAGACTGCAAGGAATATAAACCCTTCCATTCCCCATCAATCTGTTAGAACTGAAGAAGGCTCTTAATTAAGAAGCGAAACATTTTCAAACCATGAATCGGATTTGGGCTTGCCAGAGGAAAAAAAACCAAGAAAGTCCAGTTGCTTTTTGGAGAAAGCATCTTTGGGATAAGGGTGATTTAGATGATGGATAATCTCCATGATGGTACCAGAGGGTGAAGCGAAGGTTATAGATGATTTGATAAAGGTGAAATGCAGCACAGCTATGGATCTTAATTCACTTCGTAAATCATACTAAAATAAAAACAAAGATTTCTGCTATGCAATTCTCTTCACACAATAAGCATGCCTCCAGTTATTTTTGGCAAGGTATGCCAAAGTAAGTTCCTGTGGAATAGATTTCTGGTAGTCCCTATGACCACAATGGGGACAAGAATTTCCATTAACTAAGTGAGGTAGTTGTTCATATGAGTCACATCCGATTTGTTAAATTTGGCATATTT